CCCTCACCATGCCGTGGCTTTCCCTGCAGGTGGCCTGGCTGGGCATCAACATCTTCCTCTTCACGTACTACTTTCTGCTCTTTGACCGGGATGAGCGGTACTTCTACACCAGGGCCATCCTCGGGGTAAGGTGCTCCCCCGCAGCACCCTGCCTGCTCTGCCCTTGGACCTCTCCTGCAGCAGGTGGGGGCTGCAGACCCCATGCCCCAGCCCTGTCTTGTCCTCTTCCAGCTTGACATCACCTCATCCCAGTCCCCAGCCCAGCATTGCTCCATGCTGGTCCATATCTTGGTCCCTGTCTTGTCCCAGTCCAGCATCACCAATCCTCCTTTCCTGGCCCAGCATCTCCCCCTCCCAGTCCCCAGCCCAGCATCACTCAGGCCCATCTCAGCATCATTTGGCCCCATCCCGTCCCGGTCCCAGCACAGCACCACGCTGGGCAGACGTACCCCGTCTATGGCAAGGGACAGCAGCACTCACTCCTCCACCTCTCCCCAGTCCGCCTTGGCGTGGGCACGAGCATCAGCCAAGTGCCTCAACTTCAACAGCATGCTGATCCTGCTGCCCATCTGCCGCAACCTCCTCTCCTTCCTCCGCGGGACCTGCTCGGTGAGTGCCCCGCGGCGGCATGGCCGGCGTGGCTGTCCCTGACCCCCCGTCCCTGTCCCCGTCCTGACACCGCCGCCTCTCCCCGCAGTGCTGCAGGCGGACGCTGCGGAAGCAGCTGGACCACAAACTCACCTTCCACAAACCACAACCTCACCTTCCACAAGCTGGTGGCCTACGCGCTGGCCCTGTTCACAGGTACCGCCCCGACCTGGGCTGCGGTGGGGACCAGTGGGGTGGCCAGGTGGGTGACTGCCTGTCCCCTACCCAGCTGTGCACACCATTGCCCACCTCTTCAACCTGGAGCGCTACAACCACAGCCAGCAAGCCACCGACGGCAGCCTGGCCGCCGTCCTCTCCAAGATGCACCTGCAGGGCAGCGACAAGTGGCTCAACCCCATCCACTCCAACCAGACGGTGAGCGCTGGCCCTGGCATCCAGCTTCCCGCCATCCCTGTCCCCTGCCTCCCTCACCCGTCCCGCTGCCCCCGCAGACCGTCGAGTACGTCACCTTCACCACCATCCCGGGGCTGACGGGGGTCATCATCACGCTGGCGCTCATCCTCATGGTCACATCCTCCACTGAGTTCATCCGCAGGAACTACTTTGAGGTCTTTTGGTACACGCACCACCTCTTCCTCATCTACTTCCTCGGCCTCATCATCCATGGCATCGCGTAAGGCTCCTCACCGGACAGTGAGGGGCAGCATCCACGGACCCCCGGAGAAGCAGCTCTGGCTGTTCTGGGGGAGCGATGCAGCCCCAGGGAGGGTCCAGTGGGGCTGTGGGCTCCCCATGGCCGGGGTTGACCTCGTGCACCACGCCTCTGCCGCGGCTGGGGGGCAGGACTCTGCCCATGGGCTCACCCCTCGCCTCCCCACAGCGGACTGGTGCGCGGACAGACGGAGGAGAGCATGGAGGAGGTGCCCCCCCATCGCTGTGCCCACTATCTCACGCACAGGGACGAGGCCTGCAGCCACGGCTGCTGCAAAGACCCCGAGTTCGGGAGCATCCCCGCTGAGGTTGGGCAGTGGCAGGACAGCTGGGGGCTGGAAAAGCTCTTCCCTTGCCCTTGGGATGCTCCAGCCCTGGCCCTCCCCAACCCTTTGCTGTCCTCCATCCCCACAGTCCTGGAAGTGGGTTCTGGCCCCCGTCCTCCTCTATGTCTTTGAGCGGATCCTGCGGGTCTGGCGTGCGCAGCAGAAGGTGGTTGTCACCAAGGTGGGTGGTGCACGGGCCCGTGCCGACGGCCAACTCCGGTGCTCCAGCCCCATGCCAGAGCGTCCGTGGGGAGGGGCAGGGGGTGCCGCCAAAGCCCCTTGTTAGGGGAGAGGGCCCGGGATGGGCGCTGAGCCCTGTCCCTGTCCCGCAGGTGGTCATGCACCCTGCCCGCGTGCTGGAGCTGCAGATGCAGAAGAAGGGCTTCCGCATGGAGGTGGGGCAGTACATCTTCCTCAACTGCCCCGCCATCTCCCTGCTGGAGTGGCACCCCTTCACCCTCACCTCGGCACCCGAGGAGGACTTCTTCTCCGTCCACATCCGAGCGGCCGGCGACTGGACAGAGCATCTCATCGACACCTTCCAGCAGCAGAATCCGGAGATGCCCAGGTAGGCTGGGAAGCACCTGAATAGACCATCCCAGGAACTTGGGGAGGCCATGCCTCTTACCCAGGCTGTCCCTCGGCCAGGATCGAGGTGGATGGCCCCTTCGGCACAGCCAGCGAAGACGTGTTCCAGTACGAGGTGGCCATGCTGGTGGGAGCAGGCATCGGCGTCACCCCATTCGCCTCCATCCTGAAATCCATCTGGTACAGGTTCCAGCAGGCTGACCAGACCCTGAAGACCAAGAAGGTATGGGGCATCCCACGGGACCAGCTGTGGGTTTCTCCATGATGGGCTTCTCTTGTCTTTGGCATCGCATCCTCCCACCCCTCCTGCTCTGCCCCACCTGGAGCAACCCCTCTCCCCCCTGCATCCCAGATCTACTTCTACTGGCTCTGCCGGGACACGGGAGCCTTCGCCTGGTTCAACGACCTGCTTGCCTCGCTGGAGCAGAAGATGGCTGAGTCGGGCAA